GTCGGCGACTGCCGTTTCGATAACGGCTGCCGCACGGGTCCGCGTCAATCAGCTTCATCAACACACCCCATGTGGGCATTATAATATTTTATTAGCTGAAGACAAACGATAATTTGTGTAATTTCATCTTTTTGTTTTTTATTTACTTGATTTTTTTTGTGTTGGATCATGAAAGTTCGATAAAAAATGAATACCTTTGTTATCTTTCCATTTCATTGCGATAATTCCAATAACTGTGGTTTGCCATTCATATTGACCTCTCGATAATTTTATCATCAGAAAAAAATGTTTGGGAAAATAAATTCTATGCGGTCTTGTTGTACCACAAGCTAATACACCATTTCTAATAAATCAGCCATTAATCTTGAAGAAGAAAAGTAATTATTTTTATCAAAATAAACTGTATAATATTTCCCAATCAAGTCACGCACCATATCTTTAATAACTCGAGCACCTAAATTTTTTTCTACTATGTTATTAGTTTTTCCTGTGTAAATTTCAAACTGACAAACATAACCAAATGCCCTTGTCCATACTTTATAACCTCGTTTTTTTTGGCTTATTAGGCATATATTGTTTAATACTAGACCTTCCTTTGAAAGCTATCATTGACTAGTCAATTCATTGGATTCTGGTAGGATTATAACAAGATTTGAATGTGGCTGTAAGAATATTTAGAATAGGTCAAATTTTATATAATTTGTCAAAACCTGGTTCATGATAGGATTTTTTGGTGAAAATTATCATTAAAATGCAATTTAGATATATATCATCCAAACCTATTTACAGGCATTATGGAAGAAATATACGGATCTCGCATTTCAGAAATAGAACTCCAATAATTTCTATAACTAGGACATTTTTTTTATTCCCATAAGCATATTCATCCCCAAAAATAATTTTATTTCATTAAGAAATGCTGGTTTTGGGTCGTTTCCATGTGTTTGTATTACGTATAAATTTGTTTGGTAAACTAAATATTCAATTAACGTCTGAGGAAATATTTCTTAAAACGCACTAATCGGTTCTAATAACTTTTCATTTTCCATCTTCTGTTGGTCCTATCGGTTGAACAAATAAATTATTTCTTTTGAAATGTCTAAATTCATTATTCCATACTAACCCATCTCTGTGAATTCCAATCAAACTTTCTTCGTCATCAGCCATTTCATTAATATTTACATTTATTGTTTTATTATTAATCGTATTATCAGTCTCATAATTTTCCAAACCAAAAACAAGACCATCATCAAATACTATTGGTAAAGAATTTAAATCTACGTCCATGAAAATATTTTCGGAAATTATAGAAGTACTTAGCACATTTGTAGGATCAAACTCAAAATCTTCTATATCAGATTCGCCCGAAAATATAGATTCCCCGGAAATACGGTCAATTTCATACAATGAGCGTGCATATGAATGAAAACAATATTGTCGAGTGTTTATTCGAAGATATACCATCCGATAGTGACACTTATACTTCTTACGATGATTCTGACGCCGATGAAACATATTTACCTAATAAAGATGATGAAATAATAGAAGTCAACCATTTATCTGACGATTCAATCGATCAAAATGACGAAGAATTGGTAGAGATTTTAAATCTAGATGAAGGTAACGTTTTACTATTACCCAGTCCTATAAAAACACGTCATTCGAAAAGTCAAACACATTTAAAAATTTAACATACTAATAGTAATATTCGGCGCCCCTTATTTCCGCAAATAAATCAAACTAGTGAATTAGAAAACAATATCGTCGAAAATAATCCACCCGAAAACGCATTGATAAATACTGATGAAAATTTAGCATTAAATAATAGTTTTAAATTTACTATTCCTACGTGGTCAAAAAATAATGATTTTTTCACAAAAACCTCTACCCGAATTTACATGCACCGACGGACCAACTAGTTTGATTGATATTGAAGCTGAACACACTCCATTTTCAATTTTTGAGTTATAATTTTCAAATTATATACTAGACTTAATAGTATACCAAGCAAATCTGTATGCATACCAAATTAAAATGAAAACTAGAAAAAATTATATTCCTACAGATACAAATGAAATAGTGACTTTCCTTGGTATGAATATTTTAATGGGTATAAAACGTTATCCAAGCTATAGGGATTACTGGTCTACATCTTTGGACTTACATGACGATTATATAAGTTCTCTTATGACTGTAAATTGTTTTGGTTGGCTACTCTCATCTTTACATTTAAATGACAACTCGGTTATGGCGAAAAGGGGTAAAACAGGTTACGATAAATTGTACAAAGTTCAATCTTTTTTAAAAAAATTTCAAGAAAATTTTCAAAAATATTACCACCCACATAAAATCATTGCAGTTGACGAATGTATGATAAAGTTCAAAGGACGATCAACTATAAAACAATACATGCCTAAAAAACCAATTAAAAGTGGCTATAAGTTATGGTCGTTAGCTGATAAAAATGGGTATCTTTGGAATTTCGATTTATACACTGATAAAAGAGGTGACTCTGTCGAAACAAATCTTGGAGGACGAGTCGTCAAAGATCTAAAAAATCCATTACAGCATAAAAATCATAACTTGTACATTGATAATTTTAAGTGTAACACTTTTAGCTTATTTGAAATCAAAAGGTATTTTTTGCTGTGGAACTGTTAATAGTATTAGAAAATACAGGGTTATTCAAAATGATTCATCCAATTTAAGATAGCTATAAAATGGTTAAATATAAATTTTATCTTATCAAATTATGTAGAAATAGAGGGTAATCTCAAGTTTTACAATGTCATTAATTCGTTATTTTTAAATTATCGCTTAAGGCGATATGTTAGTTTCCGCAAATATGTCGACCGGACAGCACAAAGCGTTTTGTGTGTTGCGATTTTCGAAGTGTGAATCGATAATAACTGTGCAACGCGATTTTCGTCGTCATTATGGTATCGATGCACCGACTGCTCAGAGTATACGTCGATGGTATAAGCAGTTTAAAGAAACAGGGTGTTTGTGCAAAGGAAAAAGCACAGGTCGACCTCGTGTATCCGATGATAATGTGGAAAGAATTAGAGAGAGTTTTCAACGCAGTCCGTGTAAGTCAACCAACCGTGCAAGTCGAGAACTAGAAATTCCACAAACAACTGTTTGGCGTGTTTTAAGACGACGTTTAACTATGAAACCATACAGGTTGCAACTGTTGCAGGCTTTAAAACCCAATGATAAGTTGAAACGACTTGAATTTAGCATTTTTATGCAGGAGGCTATGCAGGATGAAAATTTTGCTTCTCGCTTAGTTTTCAGTGACGAAGCATCATTCCACTTAAGTGGTAAAGTAAACCGTCATAACGTTCGTATATGGGGTACAACCAACCCTCATGCCATAATCGAACACGAGCGTGACTCACCTAAAGTTAATGTGTTCTGTGCCATATCCAAGATTTTAGTTTATGGCCCTTTTATTTTTACTGAAAACACAGTAAATGGTAGTTCTTATTTAGAAATGCTTCAAACCTGGCTATTTCCACAATTAAACAATAATTCTGATGACTACATTTATCAACAAGACGGAGCACCACCGCATTGGCATTTAGATGTCCGTGGTTTTCTAAACGAAACACTCTCTAACCGTTGGATTGGTCGCAATGGGATTAATGACTTAACACTTTGCAGCTGGCCTCCTTGGTCACCAGATCTCACGCCATGTGATTATTTCTTTTGGGGATGTGTTAAAGATGCTGTGTATATACCACCATTGCCATCAACCCTAGATGAATTGAAAAAATCGAATAACAACAGCGGTGGAGTCAATTACAAAAGATATGTTGCAAGAAGTATGGAATGAATTTGACTACCGACTAGATGTTATTCGTGTGACCAAAGGAGCTCACATAGAACATTTATAAGTATAATTAATTAAACTTGACATATTTCTCTTTAATTTAATGTATAAAATATTGTTCTAAGTATAAAATATAAATATATGTAAGTATTTTAAATTGGATGAATCATTTTGAATAACCCTGTACTTGCCAAAATTAGAGTTAGATAAAAATATGATTATGGGTGACATTGACTGGAACAAGAGTGACCAATATCACATTTCAATCGTCAAATGAAAAGACAAACGAGGAGTTACTTTGCTGTCCAACTTTTATAATTCTACTGATGTCGTTGAGGTAAAAAGAAAATCTAAGGATGGAACCACATCAATGATTCCTTGTCCTAGTGTACTTAAGGACTATAATATGAACATGAACTGCGTCGATAAATTTGATCAGTATAAAAAAATGTATCACATTGATAGAAAAAGTCATAAGTGGTGGCATCGAATATTTTTCTTTTTTTTTTTGACGCAGCTATTGTGAATTCTCATATTATATATACAAAAATAACCGGAGAAAAAAATAACATTAAAAAATGTTCGTCGTGAGATCTCAAAAAGCCTC